CGTACAAAAAAAATTTAGATGGAGACAACCGTGATGGTGTAAGTCCTTGCCTTGACATCGAAGTTCAAGGTACGAATAAGCCATGCCGTCGATTTGGTAATTTTTAAGCTTAATAGAGAGCATAAAGAACAAGACAGATTTTTTCAGTAGTTTAAACTTCTCATTTATTATCACTGGCAGCGAAGTCTTGAGCGGCACTGAGCGGAATTTGCAGGTTACTCCAAGAATTAGCCAATCAGCCGTTTCCGACACCATCGTTTACAAAAACGCTCAAAATCCTACATAAGGCTTATTCAGTACATGTTAGAAAGCTTTTTTTATATAAATACAACTCGTATTTTCGAAAAAAAGACGGGCAACAGCCCAGTTTATGTAACGTCACTGTAGCGTGGTCATATCTTGCTTCAGAGTGGACGAATCTTTAATCCAATGGCACCATTCGATTCAGCTGCGGGTGACACACCTTTCAACATGTAAAAGTGCCTGTTTGGATACGGTAGCCCAGATTTTTGCTTACGGTGGGTCGCTCCGTGAGTGCAATGAATAAGCACACTGAGTAACCTATCGTAGCAAAAAAACTGAAACAATTCGTAGAATCTATCTCCTACTGTGACAAGAGTAACTTCAATGAATCAGAAGATGCGCCACGCTGAGATGGGTCGTATGTTGCCCCTGAATTAGGAACTTGTCCAGCCTAAGCGGAGATATGGCCACGCTACGGTGATGTCACATAAATCGGGGAACTGCCATCTTCTTTTTTACAAATACGGGCAGTATTGTATTTGCCGGTCGTTATTAGCCCAAAGTTTTGGTTTATTTCATGGATGTTTTTCACGATTACGTATGAGAAGAGGCCGTCAAGAATGATAGCTTCGAGTATAGAGAAATTTTACAGCCACGGTAAAATTCAGTTTCCATCGTTTTCGAATTTATTAGCTTGAATAAGTGACAATGGTCGACATCCACTAAGCTATAGAAAATTACAACGCACTGAATTACGATTGTGCTTTAGCACAAAAGAATTAGAGGTGATATACTGATTTATAAAGGGCAAAGAGGTTTTGCTCTAGACTGGGATGAACGTAAGAATCGAGCTTTGCTGATAGAGTTCATAAAAAAAACTCGTACTGGATATAATCGCACCAAAATCTGCTAATTCGTGGAATATCGAAGATGAAATTTTGAAGATTCATCTCAATCTCTGACTATTTCCACGCTCACACTTGTGACTAGGTTAGGAACATTGAATAAGTTCAAGAAAATCTTTTCTGAAAATTATTTGATACATTTTTAACATACTAAAACTGAAAACAAGGAGGAGCTAAAAACTGCGAGCTAGACGTCAAAGTATGGCTTGGGAAAGCACCAAGTCCATGGCACAACTATTTTCTATAGTGATCGGTATGGACCTTTGTCTTCAGGTCTCTAGCAGGCAGAAGACTTAGTTTAGTAAAGATGAAATGAACTCAAAACCATACATTGGAAAGCAGAATCAGGGCTCAGCAGAGGTGGCGCTTTCACATGTTGTAAGTCGTTTCAGAGGGCTTAATAGCCGCCTCTTCTTTTCTTTGCCTGAATGTATCGTGGGGACCCTAAGCAGAAGGTTATTTTCGGCAATCTCAAAGGTGACTCGTTTTTGAATTTCTTAAATGCAACCTCGTGCTGGACTCCTGAGCAGAATACAAGAGCAAGAAATTAGAGTAAGCAACAGCATTAAAGAAGAATATCTATGTACCGCTGACAAAATTTCTCTTTGCTCAGTCTAAGGTATAATGTCTCCTCAATGTTAAATTTGCGAATTGGGATCGGTCAAGGCGCAGAACGGAGCAAGGTAGCAAAATTTGATTAGGACTGTGCAATTTGATCCTAAATCTAATTGATTGGTTAATTCCGTGTCTATTAATGTCGGCTGTACTTTTGCTCCAACAAAGCAACGAGACCATTTATTTTCACTTTATTTCTGAGTGCAGCGAAAATTTGGGGCCATTTTTCACAGTGAATTTTTGAATAGGGCTTTCACATGCGTTTAGTTCTTCAGTCTTGAAACTTTTTTGATCACATTTTTTAATTTCTACAGTGACAATAGAAAATGGAAAAACGAAGTTAGGAGTGTTACAACTAGATGTTCACTAATAAAATTTTTTAGGAAAATCGTAAACGTGCCCAAAAATGTTTCGACAACTTGTAGTTGCAGCACATTAACTTCAATGTTTTTCACGTGTGGGTATTCGCAACCATAGATGCAATGAGGGAAGCCGAGCCCTTGAAAGGTGAAGGAAATCTGGGCTATCCCCTTCCTTGAAGGGTGAAGGAGGTGCTTTGTAACGTAGATAGATAGTTGGTGGTAGTCAGTTCTTCATTGACGAGAAATTTGTTGTCAATGCACATAGTTCCAGGAAAATTGGAACTCGTTAGAAAGTTTTAGAAAAAAATCGACGCTATATGTGAATTTCCGTCTCTTAAGTTTTTTAATGATTTATAGTTTGCCGGACAAAAAAAATTGCCATCTTTAAAATGGGAGGGGGATTGACTATTAACTTGCTCTACCCCGTCCTTTCTCAGTGTTGGCCTTTGTGGGTCACCGTAGTAAAAACTTGGCAGCCAAAAAGCAAAATTCTCTAACAAGCTGTAAACAATTCTCCAGTTGGTTGCAATTTGGATAACAGTAGATTTTAAGATTTCGATTAATCACTGCACTTATACTTTTTCGAATCTGCTTTAAATAAAAAATTCTTTTGCTTTCAAAAACTGCTACCCTCAGTGTAAATTGATTTGTACCTCAATCGAAATTACGTAGGAACTAGTCGTAAGATGTGAGGTCACTCACAATCAGACAATCATGCCTGAGGTGTTCTAGATTGATTTCACACTTCAAAGTTGGTTATCCAGGAGTGACTCGGTCATTCATAGGTAAATCAGCAAATCTCTTGAATTTCATGATCAAAACATTAGCTGTTCATGACTGACAGAAAAAGAAACAAAAAAGCAGAACAAAATTCTGTAAATAGTCAAGCTTCACCCAAGACTGCAACACGCTTAAACTATCAGAAGTTGCTTTCACTTGACTAGGGAACATGGCCATGAACCAGCGCTAGAGCTGTACTGCAAGAAACTCGTCCATCTTGCGATAGGCGGGGCTGACGGTGCTCACCTTATTGACACACGCCTGCCTAAGCGCGCGCTATCGTTCATAAAGTCCGCCACCCGATTTTTTATCTTTTCTTACTAGTGTAGGATACTTTATGAACGTGTCTTCGAAATGAAACGTAGACCATTAAACGCATGTAGAGCCGCTAATTCCAAATCTGCCTTCGATATCTGCTGTGCGCTCTTCCGAAAGAAGTTATGAACACTTCTTTCCACTAATGCACTGTTTTGATGACAGATCACCAATATCGTTGAAATAGTTACTTACGTACTGCAAAAGAGCGCCCAAATAAATTAAAGCTTTACGCTGAGTTTAGGAAAACCGTCTTCGATATATTCGAGTGTAGAAAGCTTGAATACTAACGCTTCTAACTGCCTAGATATCTTGATATCAATACGGAGAAAAACATAATTTTATTCAAAGAGTCGTACAGCAGATAGTGAACATAGATTTGGAATCAGTTTTCTGAGGCGCACTCACTGGTTTACATCAATATCTTCTAAATTTAGGCTTAGCTAGGCGGGTCATTTTAGGTTCTGGCTCAAAAGTGAGGAGAGCAATTTCCATTGCTCCTATCTCAACCATGGTTGAAACTGTATGTATGTGAACAACCAGCCTAACAGTAGCGATGGGATAAGTTGAGGGGAAAGGGTGCAAAAATTTGTTGCGCTGATGGGCGTAACGTTGACCAAGTCGTGTATATATTCTTTCCGGTTAGTTTTATATGAAATCTGCTTTGGATTTCTTTGGCCTTCAAAATTTTTTCAAATTGAGCCAAATTGAGTGGGACTTTCTTTTGGGTTGCAACTTTTTTTCGGTCAAAGCAAACGCTTTAGAGTTTGTTTGATTTTTTTTTGCAAAATCAGGCCCACCCCACCGCGAAAAGATATAATGCATTAGCGTTTCATACTTCAAACAGAAAAATATTGTTTAGCCTTTCGACTCGATCAATCTTGACCCCACAAACTTTCTTTCTGGCTTTTCTGAAAATAAAAATGCTCTTTCAACTTATATCACTTGATTTCTCTCAAAAAAAATTTGGTAAGAGTTTGGGACTGAAAACCGCTGCCGCAAATTAAAAAATGTTGATTTACCGGAGCCGGAAATGAGCATTTTAAAAGTAATCTAATAGATCTTATAAAAACTTTGAAGTCAAAGTCCTTGTTTTCACTTTGTCTTTTCAAGATTGAAATTTTCTGATACTTTTTCGTATTCGGAAACAATTTTTTTCTAGGGATACTGCTTTTTTTCTTCTACCAAATGCAGTCATAACTTTACAGGAAGAATTGTCAACCTTTTGTCACTTATAAAAATATTGATATATTGTCTACGTGTTCAACAAGTTTTACCAAGAGCTTGCTTAGCCTACCTATAAATGTAAATTCCTATCTGTTATCCTTCCCTAATATTATATGACGCTAAAAGCTCAACACCCTCAACTTAGGGTGGACGGTGCCTTTAAGCGGTCCACTCTGGAATTTCACTTCTCAATAGAATTGTTTACGCAAAACCAGCGATGATAAGCCAGAAATGCGGTTACAGGGAGCCCATGCGCTTTCATATGAACGCTTACATGAAACATTTCTATGAAAGAGTCTTCTAAGCGTTATGCCGAAGTTTTGATTTGCAGTGTTTCAGGAAAAGTCCACAAATCGAGAGCAACGGTGAGGTGCAAAGTACGGAATAGCTTCTTGAGGTTTTGGAATCTCCTTACACTCATGCCTTTTTTTGTCTAAGGCGGCATTTCATTTTTTCTTTCTCACTCTTTCCATTTTCCTTTTTATCCATATCTTTAAAACTTGTTTATTTGGATGTGACTGACACAAGCACATATCCAAAAACGTCAATCATGTAACTGGCGGGAAGTTAACGAAAGAGTGCATTTTTAATTGAACTAAACATGCGTTTGACTCCGTCCGTAACCCATGCGAGAGCTTCGGAAACATTGTCGAAGCGCATATGCCAGTGACCAAAGCACCTGCTGTCGCTATCGTTTTTAACAGCGAGGTCTCTCAAGTACGAACAATATCTCTTCGCCCTCCAGCCGTCGTTTATGCAATCTCCGGGGATGATCCAGCAGTATATCTCTTCTTTACCCTGTAAGAGGTCGTAGTAAACAGCAATCGTGTTATCTTATAAGTTTGGAACTTCAACTTTTCTTAGAAATCTAACTGTTCATCAGCAAGTAGAAAACAATCTGTACCTTGCAAGAGTGTCGGACGTAAAGATATGGATCAATTCGGCTCAACTCTTTAACAACGCCTCTAAGTTCGAAATAACCATTTTTGTCTGGTGTCATGTAAGTTGTCAAGTTTATATCTTCAGGCCTTTCTCCTACTGAAACAAAAGTATGAACTGAGCTTAACTTTGCAGTTCTGACTCACTGGGTTCTCCTTCATATAACGCTATTGTCACTCGGTTGTACGGTTGACGATTACAAAAAAATCGTCCCCGTACCCATGTTGCCTGTACCGGCCCGATTCGTAAAAAAAAGCGGGGATCATATGGATCAGAGCAGCGAGAAGGTGATGCGAGAAGGTGCAAGAAGATTAGCATTAGCATTCTGTAATTATGCGTTTTATGTGTCATATAATAAGCAGTGTTTTAAGAGAATTGATAGTTACTCCACACAATTGGGTAACAAGTTAAATCGTTAAGATAACATTGATAAGTTAATGTTTGAGCGAGTTAGCACTAGCTCACTAACCAAACTTGCTGAATAGGATTGCATACTACTGCATTTTGTTACTGCATGCTCCCATGCTGCCACGTGGGACAACAAAATTGTAGGAACATATAATCTGAATAGAGCAAAACCTCTAAGATATTTGCAGCATTCGCATGATGGCTTCTACATTAATAAGCTGAAAATATAATATTTGATACCATTATAGAACGGATTACACCACCTCAAACTTTCCTATGCCTGTACTCTTACATAGCGTTTAGTATGAATATATCTCGTATTTCTCTCGTAGCTGAATCAAAAAAAAAGTATTGGTGTGGTCGGAAAATAATGAGGCACTTCGCGAATAAATGCAGCTTTCCCAAGATGGAGAAATGATTGAACACTCAAATCTTGATATATGTTAGAGCACATCATTCGTTTCAGTGATAACTATATAAACCCATCCGCACGTGTAATAAGCTTTACAATTGTCAAAACGCGGAGTCATTGATTTTAAGCAATTATGAACTTTGAGCAGTAGCTTAGCAGTAAAACGTGTGCGACCACCCAAGTATCAGTGCTAGGTTTGAATAGGGGACTGTCACCAAACAGACCACAGCTTTACAGAACCAGGGCTTTGAGTCAGAAGATATGGTCATTACCAGCTCCGGACAGCATTAACAACTTACTTACTTTTCTACCCATAAACTCGTATTTTCAGTCTCCATATAAAAGAGCTTTTCGAGCTCTATCTATCCATATGCAACTCGCTCGATTTCCTGCTATCTTTTAAAAACCAAAAACTAAAGCATGAGGTTTTGGGTAAAGTTGCGCCAAGAATTTGCCGTTTCTCATGCTTTTTGGTTTTTTATTCACAAAAAAATGGAAAATTGTTGAACAAGTACTATGTCTTCTGAAAGAGCTTGAAGAGCTCTTCCAAAAGATCTGCTGCTTGCTCAATGCCTTTATGGTAAAGCAGCGTAACTGAAAGGTATGCTCCAAAAACGGGGTCCGAATTCTTAGAAGCGCCACGCTAAAGAATTTGCGAGAGTAGCGGTAGCGCATTGCCAAAGTATTAGGCGATGTTCACTTGGTGATGTTTTAGTTGCCGTCTGGTTACCGAAGATTAGTACGAAAATTTCAAAATGTAGAGAAATCGAGCTGCCTCATTACTTTCCGATTACCCTAATAATTCTATCTTTGCAAGCTTAATTAGAAATTTTCAGCTTTTTTTTGGAAGCGCTGCTTTTCAGAAAATATGAAGTAAGACGTAAAAACTGAAAAGAAGACATTTTCGCATTTCCTTGTTATCTCCTTCGTATTCTAGTTACCGAAAAAATGCAGCGTTTATCTTTGTGAACATTTAACTATAAGAGTAAATAACAGTAAGATAACTGAGATCTACGTGAACAAAGTGAAGGAAAAGGGGGGGGGGGATTTCTAGACGGAAATACGATTGTTGGGTCTTCAAAACATTTTAAACCTTGACTTCAAAGTTAGCACAAACTAATCTTGCGTAGGTGCTCTAGCTCCCTCTTGTAGATCTTGCTTTCCTCTATCAAAATAAACAATCCAATCTACGGCAGACATCACTGGCAACAAGTTTTTTTTAGCTACGGGAAGACTAGAACAGACTTATACCTTTATTGCAATGAAAAACAAAACCGTCGAGGAAACGAAAGTGCACCGGTAAAGAATGCGCCTCAACGTTTATTTATGTGAGCAGCTTTATAATCGCAGTTATTTTCATTTTAGAAGTAGGAAATTGGTTATTGCATTGATGTATTGGCAAATTGACGTCCCGATGCATTGCTAAAATCTGGGAAAGAGATCAAAGTTTCAAAACATCAATTTGAAAAGCCAACGACCCAGCAATAAAGTAGACAAACCAGCAATAATTGTCCGAATTATTCGAAAATGGCATGGCGATGAAATTCTGAAAACCACAAAAGCTATCCGCATAAAGTGGCAAACGTGACGCTTTCCCTCTTACGCATTTCTCGTTTTCTAGTCCCAGTGATCTGTGCAGAGTCGAGTTTGTCCGAGTGAACTTCGATATGAGAAGGAGCTAAAGCACTGCGAGAGCAAGAAAATGCCCGACATTCTTGACTTTTCATTGAGTCAAACTTTTTGGTGAGAATAGGGGGATGGAGCCGCTAAAACATGAGGTTTGAGTGTTTGTACTGTGCAGCAACGCATTGGCACCGTTTCTTGCATTAGAAGACCAATGTGCTGGGCAGGAAGAAAATTTCTACAATACACTATTTGCAACTGAAAACGAGTCACTTTTGCAGTTTTATGAATTGTGTGGGCAAAGCGTGGTCTTTTTCAAATTATATAGATACATCGTATCCAGTAAGTTTACCAATTGTGCCAGCAAAGTCTTAGATAAAAGGTGCCAGTGGGCATCCTCAGACAATTATTACGAACATCCGCGGCCCTTAATTCACCTGCTTGGCGACCCGCGGCTCAATGTTTTCGCTAGTTAGAGGCCGCGGGTTTTAATTCTTCTGTCGGGACACCCGCGGCCCGGGAAAAAACACTCGGGCGGGCCACGGACCTCATTTTCGGGCAGGCCCCGGCCCTTCTAGGCAACGGCTCAACAGAATCAGTCTGACCAGCCGCGGGCCTTGCCGGACGCCGCAATTCTTACATGCTGTAAGCAAAAACGTTACTCGCGTGAGATACGCCGCGCTGATAGAGGTACCCTCAACGTTTATGCTGTTCTCTGTCGTTCCTTGATATGTGGCTAGTAGTAAAGACGGTCTGCTGAGGTATCCTCCCCCAGGGTTTCTTGAAGTTGGAATCGGGGCCCTACGAGGGAAGACAAATTTTGATGCATACCCTAACCCATGTGCCGGGGCGCGGAAGATGAACAAATGTTCAAAAAATGGAATAAATGTACATTGTACTGGGTTTAGCACTGCGTATCGGGCCACCCGCGGATGCATAACGCGCCTCAGTCGGGTGCTTGCCTGGACATCCGCGGGCGTCTTTCGAGCGCTTACCGGTGCATCCGCGGGTAACTCTCGGCTGCTTAGCGTGCGTTCACTCTACCACCCGCGGCATGGATGAAACGTCGGCGCGGGCCCTTCCGCGGGTGGTCGCAATAATTGTCTGAAAGAAAGAAAAAGATCTTTCCAAGACCTGTGACGTCCAACAGCATTTCTGAGGCTTTCTCATTCTCGTCTATAGCTCACTTTTCTAGAAGATGCGAAAGAGAAAGAGCCGCAGGGACGTCTACAACGAACAGGCACTTCACACATAACGCCCAATTGCCAATCTGGTCGAACGGTAGAGTCTTTAATCAAATCGAATATTCGCGCTCAAGTAAACTACTCGAAAATACGATTAAAAAATCGTCTAAAATTCTCGCCCTCCCTTTACTTTACTTCGATCACGTAGATCTCAATTATCTTATTTTTATTTACTCTTATAGTCAAATGTTTACAAAAAATAAATTTTCTTTTGCATTTTTCAGTGACTAGAGTACGAAGGAGAAAATAAGGAAATGCGAAAATGTCTCCTTTTCAGTTTTTACGTTTTCTTTCATACAGGGTGGGGCAAAAGTCTGGGAGCCTCGTACTTTTTCAGATAAAATCAGAAGGAAAGTAACTAGAAACAAAAAATTTGGTGCACACATAAATCGGACCTTTGCAAATACATCACTGCTCTTACATTTTGAAATTGCCTCTTCTGGCTTGAAAGCAGCCCTTCGAAATCTTGGTGAGTCCGCCTGTCATGGCACGCAGACAGTCATGATGAAATTCGTCCCATGCCATCAAAGTATCTGTTTCTATCACCAGGCAAATGTGCAGTATGATAGAGCAAGCCTTTGGCTACAAAGTGCTACAAGAAAAATTTTTTTTGCAATGTTAAGAAAAATTTTTCTGAAATCTTTAGTGAAGGCAAGTGTATTCGCATACTGGAAATCTGGATGCGATCGCGTGAATGGAAGCGAAAAATCATAACCTAGAAGCATTGAAATTCCTTTATCGATCGAAATCTAATAGATGCTTGTATAGAAGACTCATGGAAAGAATATAGCCTAAAACATAGTGCCTGCTGCGCTCCTATAGCTTTCAAATTCATTTTGAAGACAAATGACCACTGGCACGCAGGTAGTATTCGCAAATTTTTATTTTGCGTTTTCGAAAGAATAGTATCTGGCAAACTCAACTACTACGAATCGATAGCGCAAAGCCTCCTCTACAATGTGTGCATCGAAGTGCCCTGGAATATCTACTGTATCTTTAGCTACGAAATAAGCTATGAAGACCGAGGTTTTCGATTTTTTCGCTTTGCAGAAGCATTTGTTTGATAAATCCAATTCCTACAAAATTATATGGCAAGCATTTCTAGCTAGCTAAAGTGTGATTTGTGAAGGATGATCGCAGCAATATGCAGCCCAAATTCGGAATCAAAATCATCAATAGTTTCTTGATTTACAGCATTACAAACTAGGCTCCCAGACTTTTGCCCCACCCTGTAATTTCTGAAAAGCAGCACTTCCAAAAAGCTGGAAATTTCTAATTAAGCTTGCAAAGACAGAATTATTAGGGTGATCGGAAAGTAATGGGGCAGCTTTTCTCTAAATTTTGAAATTTTCGTACTAATCTTCGGTAACCAGACGGCAACTAAAACATCACCAAGTGAACATCGCCTAATACTTTGGCAACGCGCTACCGCTACTCTCGCAAATTCTTTAGCGTGGCGCTTCTAAGAATTCGGACCCAGTTTTTGGAGCATACCTTTCAGTTACGCTGCTTCACCATAAAGGCATTGAGCAAGCA